GGTGTTAATTTTTCAAAAAAAAAAGAAGTTTTTTCTTAATAACCCAAAAAAGCTTCAGCCGATTTCAATGAAATTTTCACAGTTTATTTCAACCATTATCAGACATCTACTGGACCAATTAGATTTGATCCAGAATTTCCAGGGGCGTACCCAGCGACCAATTCGGTTGTTTTTATGCAGAAAAAATATCACTCTGTAGTTTTTGTACGATTTTTATTGATTATTCAGATAGACACACTAAAAATACAACATTTTTGTCTTTTTAATTTTTCAATTATCTCATTTCGTTTTCGCGTAAAAATTACAATACCATACCTCGGCACGTCTCTGAACTCCATAAGGAGATATAAAAATTCATAGGAATTAAGGTGCATCACCCATTCATTGAGTGACAAGAACGTAAATTCCATTTGAGGTTTTTTTCGTTTCATTTTCATAAATGAACAAACTGCGATAAATTTTTAATCAATTCCTAAGCATTTTTATTTTTTCTTATGGAGTTCAGAGACATGCCGAGGTATGGTATTGTAATTTTTCCGTGGAAACGAAGCGAGATACTTGAAAAAGCCAAAAGACAATATTGTTGTATTTTTACTGGGATTATCTGAATAATAATTGATAAAAATTGTACAAAGACTACAGAGTGATATTTTTTTATGCAAAAAAGCAACCGACTTGGTCGCTGGCTACGCGCCTGGAAATTTTGGAACAAATCTAATTTTTCCAATAGATGTCTGATAATGGTTTAAATAAACCGTGAAAATTTCATTGAAATCGGCCAGAGCCCTTTTGGGCTATTAATAAAAAACTATTTTTTTTTGAAAAACTTTGCACCCTGTATCTTGGAAACAAATCGTTTTTGGACCTATATCCATAGAAACTTTTTTAGTTATTTTCATAAACACTCTCTGCCCCTGAAGTTTGTAACACCCTTTCGGAAACACCCTGTATAATAGTTCATATTATCTTTTGATTAAAAAAAAGGTAACACCGAAGGTAACACCCAATGACATCTTAACACAGATAGACAACGCATCTCATTCATAAGTGAGCATCCCGAGGGGAGTCAGGGTGGGGATGCATCAGAGGCACAGATCACCTAAATACAAATGCGTAAGTAAGTAGCCTTGCCGTCGACAATTCAAAGCTATAAATCCAGGGCAGCCAGCTTTCTTGCCGGTAACGCGGCCGATCATTCATAGTACGTGGGCGTGTTCCAGCCTTTTCTATTTACATATAACCTTGAATCACGAATTCACCGCTGTTTCGCATCTGTATGTGAGTGATCTCTGACGCGGACCCCCGTACTATTCGACAAGAGGCCTTCCGCCTAGTGGGATGGGAGAGGTTTTGTAGCTTTTGAATCGACGGCAAGGTCCCTTGCTCACGCATCTGTAAGAAGGTGATCTGTGTCATAGGTGTGAACCCCCCTTACCTCGCCCCTTACCGTCTGAACTCATCATTCACTTGACCAAAATAATGAAGATATGCGCACGCGTGCAACTCGTTTGCAGCATATATCCACCTCTAACTCATAATGATATACATTTGATGGGTGTGTTAACATATCAATCGATTGGAGCGCGTGTTTTGCTTGTTTCATAAGACCGGAGTTGTCAGTAGTCGTTTTTAGTCTTGGTAGCTTGAGTTTTTTAAAAGCGACGTCATAACAGGAGAAAACCAATCCGTAATAATTTGGCACCTAATTGGAGGGAATAAACCAGAGGTAGATCCAAAAACATGTTGTTCTCTTTTTTACATTATCTTCCTAACAAGCTAAGAGAAATTAAATATTAGATAGGGCACATTGTTCATATTGCTAAGGCGACCATCTTGTTTGCCGCACTCTAAACAAACGCAACATTTGTGACGGTGTCACCATGCAAATTATTGAACTACATCATTTTTCTGATAAAATATCACCACTGGTACCTTCCCTTCATGAAGATTGTTACGGGGAGCTATTTTTGTACATTGTGCTCCCGAACTATTACCTAAATTTTTTGTGACCCACCAATGTCACAAACATTGGCAGACCAAACTACCAAATCCAAGTCAAATAGGGTTGCATTCTGGGACCAAGCTTAATATTTCCTAATGCTAAATAAACATAAAACGGTTGAACCGGTGAACACATGGTCTTGAAATGAAATACGCAGCGTGACAACGGGTGGTCACGTTGTCCGGCCAACGAGATTCAATTATGGCCACATTAAAAACTCAACTACAATTGGTTAGTTTTGATATATTACCCGTAATAACTATTCGCAGGTTGTATAGCCTCTGAGTTATTTCGAACAGTTTACGTTAGTTTTATTAACTATTGGCTAGTTTGAGTTATTTTTAGTTTTTTATGGAAAGTTTTGGTAAGATTTGCTCAGTTTTGGTTATAATTATTTGTTAGATTCACTTATCTAATCAGTTTGAAAATAAATTATATAAAAACTGAACGGCGTGTTACATACCGGGTAGAGGGCGGATGGGTTCTATACAGGGTGTATCAGGTATGAGTACAAATATTTTAACATGAGATAATATGGCCTATGTCAAGCAAAAACTGTCCTATCAACCATGGGTCAATTGTTAGTATTCTCGGAGTTATCGCAGAATTTAAATTTAGAAAAATGTTAACAACGTGACAACATCAGGTATTATCTCTGCCAGGATATAAATGCAAATAAAACTGGTAAATTTAAAGGTTTTTTTCTTTTTTGCGGGAAGTATATTTATTTCCATCTGTTTACGTTTTCTTATGTTATTGGCTTTCAGATAATGTTAATAATTATCACTTTTCTAGTAAAAATAAAAAATGTGCCGTTTCATTAAGTGGTGAATTGCATTCAATGACATTTTTGCACTCAACACCAAACCAAATAATACTCACTCAGCTACTTGCCAAATCCTTATTATGAAAATATAATTTTTTGTCAAAACACTCAAATCAACATGCAGATTTTGCACACTCACACCTCCTGTATCACGCAATCTTTGTAAAACGGGCACAATGTTCTTCCATCAGATAAGTGCTCTTGGGAAATCTTTCCCTGTAAATTCTGCCGGCTAGATGAGCATTTTGCAAGGATTCTGCCTAAACAAGTATCTGCATATTCGACGTTTGTATACATTTAATTCTCAAAAAAGAATAAATAACGCGCGTTTCTAATGCTTCAACTAACTGACACAAGACAAATCAAGTGTGTGTGTTGTGCTATGTTGTTCAACTTTTTATTATTGTTGAGGACTAAAAATGCATAATTACTTAATAATTGAATGAAATAAAAAAAATTGCATCTCATAATGATAAAATTTACTTTATCTTTCAAATATTTGTCAAAAAATGTCAAAAATTCAAAGGCTTTTTTCTTAAAAATGGTTGAGTTTGGACCCCACGTAAAGTTCATTCCACGAAACGAGATAGTAGAGGTAAACAAATAGGCGGAGCTTAAAAATTCAGAGAAGGGCTGCAAAAATATGAATTACAACAAATGACATTTATTATTGTCAGATTGTCATATTAGTCAATAAGTTTAATGTCGTATTTCCTAGTATTTTACAATTATCTAGATAGTGTTTGGTGAATAATTGTTAACTAGTTAGCAATTTAGATTAAAACAATATCAAATTCAACAGAATCCGCTGAAGAATTCGTTCGGAAATATATTCGGAGAAGGGAAATACAAAACAACCTAAGACGGTCTTGCCTAGGGCGGAGTATAATCCTTTTCTAGCCAATAAAATTCGACTTATCTGTCAAAGTTTGTTTACTTTCACTATCTCGTTTCGTGAAATGAACTTTGGTTTGAACTTTTTTTGTTCAAAATGGGCCATCTTTTCACGTGTTAAAATTTTTTTAGTCAAACCTGATACACCCTCTATTCAGTATAATACTAAGTTACGAGGAGCAGGTGGTAATAAGAGCCAGCGCGCCATCTTTTAGCTCTATAACATACATCAAATATTTTTAATTCACAGGTGTTCAAATTCTCTGTAAGTGGTTGACTTATTTACAAGTAGATGGCGACATCTTCAATATCAATTCGTTTACACAGTAATTCACAGTGGACTAAATAATTTTATTCAGATGCGAATGAAACAATAGAATTTCACATTTTTGGCTAGGTAAAACAGTTTTTACTGGCGATTGAAAGAAGTGACTACCCTTCCGGATCTCAGCGACATCTTTTAGCGAAGCGCTGAACACACGTTTGGTTTGAGTCTGCTGAAAATGACAGCAATCATCTCGTTGTTTGGCAGATTTTGATTAATTTTGTGATAAAAACAATATAATTTTCGAAAATTCTGTCCTATTCATTTTTTCCAGCATTTTACTATCCGAAATTTTGGAAATTTATTGTTGGTGTGCAACTCTAGGTATTCGACCCTTTTTCATTTAAATCCATGACCAAAATTTGTATATTGTTGTCAACAAAATTGGTAATAATTTTACTATTTAGAATGCGTATTTTGAAACCAAAAATGCTTCGAACCATACTCCAATCTATTATTTTTATGAACATAACTTCATTTCACTGAAAAGTGGTCTAAATTTGGAATTGAACAGAAATTTGTGAAGGTCTGTAAATTACATTTTATTTAAACGCCCCTCTTAACAAGGATTTGGTCGCACTAGGCGGTCAGGTCAGGTCGGGATATTTCTGTTTTAATTTTTAAATGAAAATTTAGCAAATAAAGAGCACATCCATCACAAACACTTGAAAGGCTTTCAAAAATGATGATAATCAGACATTTATAGAGGATGCTTTGAAATAAAAAATCGTGAGAATCTATTTTTATAATCTTAAAGCGTCCAAAATTCTTATACATATATTACCTATATTCAAATAAAAAGGCTATGTTCTAGATCATGAGATATTTCTGGAATATGATGCATATTTCTTTAATGTTTACGTGTTCCTATAATTTAAAAAATGCAGCTTTGTATAATAAATAAATAAATAAATAAATAGCCGTGATTTTTAAAAATTTGTTGTTAATTTCAGGTGGTTTTTTTCTCTCAGGCAACAGATTTCGTTGCGGCTGTCATCTAGCTTGGTTAGGTCACTGGCTGAGGCGATGGTCTAGGGAAAACTTCAACCCCAGAACTTCTACTATCGAATACAATAACAACATCCAGGAAACTACAAGAGAAGGAACGTGCTGGGACTCGTCTATAGAACAACACATCCCTATAATGAAACTTCCACCGGTGGATATGAGTTGCCAAGCCAGTGCACTAAGTAGCGGAGCTTACAGTTTGGTGGTAAAACATCATTGTATAGCTATAATGATTTACGTGGTGAGTTATTTGGTTGGATTTGGATCATGAAATTGTTAGGAGAATTTACGTTGTTGTAAATCATCTTTAAGAGTTGTTATTAGTGGACGTCGAGTTTGGTGGAAAGGGAATGATTTGTGATAAATATGTGACAATTTTTATGAGTAAATTGACTAACTGGTAAGAGGCAATTGCCAGTACACTACAACAAACAGTTTTGTACTTTGTTAAATCATATGCCCTTTGGAAAAGCGTATATACAAATAAAATTCAGTTTCTCGAAACTATCAACCAGCGTTTCTTGACGTTATTTTCATTTTTATTTCTTAACCAATCGAAGGGCTTATCAAATTAAAAATAAATCGGTAAATTCGTCTGAGTTGTTGAGTGGTTAGCGAAAGCATCAACATATTTCACAATAGTTCACTCTCACTTCGAAATTCACAAGTTTATCATATCATAGTAATATATATTATGAAATATTATGTAGGTATACACCGTGATTTACGTAATACGTGCATTAGAAGTTGTCCAGTTTGCAGGCGGATTAGTAGAAATAGAATCTAATCCACCTGCAAGCTTATGCACGGACTACGTAAATCACCCTGTACAATAAGTATACTTGATTGTTTGTTGTAGTGAATTTTCTGTTTCCATATGTAAATACTGGGAAACCGACTGACTGCAAAAATTTCTGTTAAGAAATGTCCTTAGTATATTAAAATATTTGAAAGAACGGTTATTTAAAATAATATAATTTAACAACAGCTACAACAAAAAATAGTGCGTAGACATGCCATTTATTTGTATTCATACATATTTTTTGGGAAATTTTATAACCATTACTTGACTTTTTTGAAGAGATATTTCGAACCAAGTAGTATCACACACATATTTTGTGAGATTAGACGTTATTTTCACCATTCAAATGACGTCTCGAAGACGATAGATTCACGTGATTATGTAACAGCGCAAAAGACGCCATTTTGTGACGTAAAATACATGATTTGAAGACGTTAAAGTACGAGATTTTATGATTTCAGAAAGACGTCGTTTACAATAGTATAAATGCTGTAAGATTACGTCATAAATAAGTCAGCCATGTCGTATTTGAAATATGGTACAATTGGCGTCATCAAATACTCAGTCCTCATAAATATGTAGGTTTGATCCAAGGAGTTTGATCAGTGCCCAGTAACTATTGCTCTGAAAAAAAAAATCTGAAAATTATTTGACCAGGCTTATACGATAAATGCAACTAACCCAAACTAACTCTTGAAAAAAACTCAAAACTCAAATGTATATTACGTATATTAGAAAACATTCTTGTTTCCCACAACTTGAATACATATTTCTGGAAGAAGTAGGAGCTAGGAGGAAATTTGTGAATTTCTCGAAACTGATACATGGCGAATCCTCAAAATCCTTGGAAGAATCTTATTGAATTGAAATACTTGCCTCGTTGCTTCTTCTTGGTTACAAAAATGGGGCAAACAACATCGACCTAGTATTGTCATTATTAATATTTAATCCACCTGCAAGAACGGACCAGGGCCGGTATTCTGGTCCTCGAAAACGCTCACCGCTTTTCAGTCACTCGGCACTTCTAATGTAAATTTACATTGAAAGTGCCGAGCGACTAAAAAGCGGTGAGCGTTTTCGGGAACGAGAATACGGGTCCAGGTGAATCACTCTGCCAGGAAAAAAGTCAAGACGAATGATTGTAAATAAACGACCATATTTGTATATGGTGTTGAAACTTGAGTTTATCCTTTTCTAATTGTAATTGAGAAACAGCCAGATGTATTTCAGAAACCGTCAAATGTAATTGAGAAAACTTGAGTAAATTCAATTGCGATTGCGATAGTTGTATTTCAGAATGCATCAAATGATATTCAGAATACGTCAAATGAAATTGAGATCATTGGAATATGATTCGAAACTGTGAGAGATAATTGAGCGATCCATATCCGATATCCCCATAAATTCCCACGAATTTGTGGCACCTTGTATTGTATGGATTTTCGAATTTTCATTATATCAATTTCATTTGACCTATTCTGAATCTCATTTGATGCTTTCTGATTTATATTTAACTTTTTCTCATTGACATTTGACGCCTTCTCAATTACATTTGACTATTCTCAATTACATTTGACGCTTTCTCAATTATATATGACTATTCTCAATTACAATTGGAAAAGGGTACACTTTCCATAGCTTCATTCCCCTTTCCAACCTCCTTCTTCTCTTCTTCAACCTAAAATTTATAATAAACAAAAAAGATAAAATAACTTGTTTTATTAAGGCAAACTTACAGATCGTGACAATTTTCCAAGGCAGGTTACCTCAGCAGGTGTTTTGGAAACAAAAATATGGTTGGAACTGCATCAGGTTTTAAAATCTCAAGAGCACACCCTGGTTTTTCTTGATATTCGCTAGGCAAGAAATGTTCACCACAAGGCCGGCTGGTTTTAGAAGGAAACCAATTCTTTCGCCATGCAATAAGGCACCCAAAAACTCAATATTTCTGGACGCTTGAAAGGAAATTTGCCAGAGGACCAATTGATTTGTGTTTCTATATCTCCATCCTAAACTTTACTTACGTATGAAAAGTTATTCTTGTAACCAAGTTAATAAATTTTCCGTACCAGGCAGTGCGGAGACATTTAGCACGAAAAGTTGATGAGAAAATGAGGGCTAGTGCGCACACTCCTCACTCACGGTTTACTATTTGGTAAATACGGTAATTCTTCAGAAATATTACGAAATGTGGCAACCTGGCAACCAGTACAATATACTACTATTCTAGTAGTAGAATTAGATTTAGCAACCTTGATTTAGTCGAAAAAATGGTATGACACAATTCATACATGTGCAGTGAAATTGCCGTGAAAATGGTGACGGAGAAGCAGGTTCTTGTGAAATCATATCAATGGGGATAGTTTTAAGATGAAAAAAATTAAATCAGCGACCTCGGATTACAAGCACATGCGCTTACCAATACTTCCCAAAAATAGATATCTCGGGTCCAATGCGGTGCGGTTTACAGAATCTCTTTTCCACGGTCGGAGGGCATTGGTTGAGACCCTGAACTCATGGGGCGGATGATAAGACATGTACCGAACAGTCCAATGTCCAATAGGAGCGGTTCATTTATTCCGGCGCTATGCGGTCTGGCATTCAAATAAAAAACGGTACCTACGGTAACAGTCAGACGAACGGGCGTCGTCAAAACAAACGGCCTCTCGGTGGAAACGGGGACGAAGACTACGTTATCACCTCGGTCATAAGCTGACGTCATTGACATGCGCAGAACGGTCCCTGCTCGGGCGCCAAATTTGTAGCGCTTCTTTGCTTTTCCGGAAGGTTAAGGGGTTTTAGGAAAACTCGGGCGCCACCCTTAGGATTATAGTGGTTAAGGGCCCTCGTGCTCCAGGTAGCTTGTTACAGTGGAGACGGACAAACACAGGTATTGACCTGTGATTGATTGATTGTGCGCATATTGATGCGCATCCCCAAAACGAAACACAGAATCCAACTTACAAATTGAAGCTTTTATTTGCCTAATAACATAAGATAAGAGGAAAAGAGAAAAATGCAATAAATGAGAGACGAAGTGCGGGGAGATTGAACGCGAGAATAATGTGTAAATGCTATGTACGTGGCGGAGAATCGCGGTAATAAGATCGCGGAAAAATAACGGTATCGGTAAATAGCTCCAAGGGATTATTGTTGCTAGGCTTGCGTACTCTTACCACCTTCAGCTTGTATTCCAGGCGCATGCGTGAACTATGCAACTGAGTAGAGTGCAGGTTCGAAAAAAAAGAGAAGGACAGAATTGAAGGGCTGCGTCACTCGGTATCAGTTGGGTAGGAGACGTCCCCACCAATCCTCTTCGGAGAGAATAGAGCCTCAACGCTATTCAATCCGCAGTGCAGAACATGACATAAGTATTGGAATGGAACTAAGAGACATACCCCGTAATCAGTCGAGGCTTGGCTCGTCATGGGAAGATTAGAGCGCCCCGTAATCAGTCCGGAAGGAACCCTGTGCAATCCATGTTACCAATAATTATGCCAATAAAAGAAGAAAGAAGTTTCAGAAATATAAGTATAGAAGCAAGGGTGCACCCCTGTAATACGTCCAGCAGACACCCCCTTGCCTTGTCATGGAAAGGATAGAGAACCTCGTAATCGATCCGGCAGCACACTATACAATCCATGATCCTTATACCCTTAGAAGAAAATACCTGCCCTCTTACTCTACTTTTCCCTTTCTCATTGTTGACGGCGTCGCGGCGGGCTGAAGGCGGAGAAGAACAGAGCGGGTGATGTCGGCGTACCTTGACTGGTGGCTGATCTAGTCGGAGCTGGTGTCGGAAACAGAATCTAAAACAGAATGACTGTTCTCTTGCAGCGCGGCTATATTTATAGCCGAAAACCCTGGTACCGGCTTCGATGATCGCGCGCAAGCAGTGTGGGTACGGTGACGATCGCGCGTCGTATCCACTCAACAAGCGCGGGCGACACGAGGTCACGCGGTCGTGGGGAACTGCAGAGGGTTTCAACCCCTCTCAGAACCTACTACCACCTCGGGGTGAGTCTCATAAGATCCGGTTGGTTGAACTCGCGCTAATTTCTAACTAATTGAGTGACCGGGATGCACGGAAAATTTGGTAACTTCGTTACATACTGTTTCTCCCTTTTGCAAATTATTGCAACCGTAAGCCGCATAGTTCAAAACCATTCTAGGTCTTAAAATAAAAATACAGTCAAGGATCAGAATAAAAAAAGCTTACTTCCAGTTTGTAGCCAAACCAAAACAGGAACAAACCAAAATGCATATAGTCTGTGCATCCAGTGGTTACCCATAAGTTGTAAAACACAGGGCTGACAATAAATTAGTACAAGACCAATTTACTCCATAAAAAAATATTACTTCACAAAATTATGTTTTAAAGTAACTTTGAAAAATGGTACACCAGCACCTGAATTAACATAGGGCCTGTCAAAGTTATTGAACAAGATTTATACTGAAATTCCAGTGCTTTCCAAACAAAACAAAATTTTGTGTTAAGTTAGATAATAAATATGTTTTACTTGTAAACAATATGTAATAATAATAATAATAAAAATATAATAATCTATACTCAGCATTAGAGGAATATATTGTCTTTTAAATAAATACGAAATGTAAATACCTATTTGTAAAAATTATATTTCTTCACAAAATTTCATGATTACAAAACATTTTGAGAATTTCAGGTAGAGCCGGTCCTCTCTTTATATTTCGCATGATTTATAGCCATGCCGAGTTTTACAACTTAGGGGTAATATCTCGGTGCATAGACTTTAGAAGAATATTGAAATATTCTTCAAAGACGAATAAGCGGATACAAAGCAGAAAATGCTTGTTTTTCTAAGAAATGGCAATTTAACCGTATGAGTAAAAGTAGGAGACGGAGAACAACATTACACTATCGTTTTTTCACACTTGCCATCCCCTGCCCCAGTTTTCGTCGTTGGGGTGGGAGGCCGTGATCACCAGTCAGGTTAGTATACAGTTCAATGGCTTTGGCAGTAATAAAACTGATAACGGGGGGCCTGTCATCTTTTTGTTTGCGGAGGATAAACCAAACTCGTCTATGATTCAGATGGCCGAGGAACAGATTCCTCACCTGAATTTGACTTTTTCCCCCGTTGCACCGTTGCCAGATCTCTATGTTTCCATCCACTTATCTCTTCACCAGATTGAATTTCAGTACCCATCTGTCATTTCTGTATTGCAGGTACTTACCTACTTACTATAATGTTGGCTAAACTGAAGTAGCCCCCTTTTTCATAATTCTTCTCAACACAAATTCAAAAATTAAATTTTCAAGATAAACAGTCCGACCCTGCCTGTGCAGTTTTTCCATTTTATCGCTGATACCAATAGGAGCAAGTATAACTTGGTCAAGCGTGTGAGTGAAGTAGGCTAAACAACTAAACAAAAGTAGTGTTTGAATTTTGCCAAAAACGGCTACTCAACAAAGCTATTTTATTTTGTGCAGAAACGAATTCACATGCATAAATAGAGGTCTATTGAATGTTTGAGTTTTTTAATCGAAGAGCTTTGTGAATTTAAACGCATTGTTAAACACATTAGAGCTAGTTCACGTAATCTATTTCTGCATCAGGTAGAGGTCAAACGACGCAAAATCCGTAACGTTTTTTTGCATCACTGCATTTATGGTCATGAGGTTTGTGAATAAACTACAAGATGTCAATATTTTCTGCGGCAATTATTCTATGTCAATGTTCTCTGTCCAACTCCAATAAATCTCGATGAGTGCGGTGAATTTGAATTAAAAATAAATGGCATATCTGTTCGCCTATATTATGGCTGAATATCGAATAAATCGAACAGTATTTCGGATTGTTACTGAAATGATGCAATTAATAACATTATTAACCCTTGGAACATATCAAATGTAAATAATTAAGTATATTTACTTTTATCAGTACCTAGACACTTTAGATAGCAAATATTTGAAGATGATGTAAATATGTAAATAAATACATAGTTTTTATTAACAAATTTGGTATTGCTATAATTATTGTGTGAATAAAGTAAATGAAAAGTGGATTTGTTTTACTTGATATTTCTTCAGGTGCTTGTAAATTATCAATTTAAAATCGACGGTACTAACATATTCATTAATGACTAACCATCAGAAAAAACTCGCCTAAAATAATATCTACTTGAAACTTGAAACCTATAATCAATATTACACCTACAATAATATCTAATGATAGTAAATGTATAAAGTCTACTGTCACGAATTTTATGTTGAATAAGTGAATCCAGAAAGTCAGAATGAGAAAAGATTCTCAGTTCGGAACTTCTGACTTCATGTAATAAGCATTAAAAAAAAAATATTTGTATATATTGTAAATGTTGTTATTTTTTACCCTACCATATCACAATGGATAAAATGTACTATTAATGAGAAAGGTTTAGTGAGATCCCTATATTAACTAGAATATCTAAGATAGATAAGATATCAATTTTAGTTTTCTTATACTTGCTCAAAATGGATCTTAGTTTATTTTTTTATATAAGGCAATAGAAAAACTTCCAAAAATATGTTTTCCTCTTCCTATCTTATAATACGCAGATTAAAAGATAAAAATCTGTTTCATGATGAACTTCAATATGATACGAATTTTTATTATGATAAAAAATTTTCAGCTACTGGAATCGAATTATTTTAAAAAGATGAGAAATGTTTTTGAAAAAATAACCGACTTGTTTTGGATTGTCTCTGTTTGTACTTACAAAAAGAAACAACAAAAAAATAATATGTCTGCATCGCGCTCTATTGAGTTGAACAACAGCTTTGTTCGGATTTGAAAAATGGACGGTTCTAGAACGGTTCAAAACAATCGCACAGTTTATTATTGCAATTGCATTGTTTTGAACCTCCCTTTTTCAAACCCGAACAAAGCTTACACATAAATAAATCCGGGGGGGGGGCGCGGGGTGCGGAATTTATGCACAAATTACCTCCAAAGTCTGTTTTTTCTTCAAAGATAATTTCCCAAGCCAAAAATTCAGTTACTATGTTGGCAACACAAGCCTTTTTTAAAAATGAACTATAAAACTACACGTACCTGGGATGGTCGAGCCGATCCATAAAATGAGGCAAATTGAGATGGACAAGGTGACGGATACCTATCTCTATTTATCTTATTGGCGAATTATGAAAATCATTCCTTGTCCAAAAAATATTATATTTGGGGTTAGGAATATTCCTAAGCTCAGGCTTGGTATATGTACAACCTATGGCGTATCGCATTTATTCGATTTTTTTTTCTTTAATTTTCAGTAGTTTCGTGCCAAATCTATTTTCCCTGTCTGTCTCTAACACATTAAGTTCTTATTGAAAGTGCCAATAATATAAATTTTTCCAATAAGTGCATACGTCATTGGTATTGGGACATCAGAAGCCTATAAAATCCTTACCGTCGACGATTCAAAGCTACGAAACCAGGGTAGCCGGCAACCTTGCCGCATATCACAGATCGTCCGCGGCCGATCATTTATAGTGAGGGAGCGTGTTCCAGCCTGTTGTGTTTGCATATAACATTGAACCACGAATTCACCGCTCTTTCGCATCTGTACGTAGGTGATCTGTGACGAAACGTCAAATTTGAAAATTGATAATGTCATCTTGTAGAGTTGGAAAAGTGGTAACGATGATGTGACATTTATTTTGGAATATCTCCTCAAATAAGGTCAGGAAAAAATAAAATCGATTTTGCAAATTTTCGTTTTTTTTTTCTCGGATATCCCGGAAAATGTTCGGAATTTTTCAAATGTCAAAGTAACATTATGTTGAGCGTTAAATTGCGCAACTTTTCCCTGATCTAACCAACATTACTACTCCAACCGTTCTCCAGATCCTTATCTTGGACACAGTGTATACCACACCTGACAGTAATGAACTAGAGAGAGAAAGGTAACCGTCACCATATTGCTATCTTGGGACACACTAAGAGAGAGACAAATGCCATATCCGACAACGGTCGGATCCATTCCAGTTACGTGTAGTATATAGTTCTTTGTTTTTCACGGAAAAAATTTGAAAGTATTGACAATTTTACATTGAATTGGCAACATAATGTAGTTTCTACTATTATCTTTAAAATAGATGGCATGATCAGTAGAGAAATTTTTTTTAATTTTTTTATTCGATTGGAGTGTTGGCACTACTGTGTTTACAGATTTCACATGGTAGGCCGTTTCGGAAACGATCTGTTTAACCCGATCGCTAGCTGTTTGTTTTTTATCTTGTTTTAATAAGCACGATTGAAAAAAGACAAATAAAAGAACATCAGCTGGTGATCCGTTTAATCGGCCTGTTATTACATTAAGCTAGGTAAGCAATTATTTTGATACCTATCAAAATATTTTCAACTGCTTAATAGTTAATATCCGACTGGTATATTATTTGATAAACAATGACATTATGTCAAAATCAGTTAAATACGAAATAATTCCCTAGGATGTTATGCTAAAAAATAACGCCCTAGGGCGTTATGCCTATTTTAATAACCTTCGTTATGACTTAATTTCCAAGTAAATGCTAGTCCTAGACTTGTTTAAGATTAATTTATTAAAAATGCATTTGAAATTTTCTCATATAAATAATTAGTCGGACATTAAACGTTGGAGACACCACAGGTATAAGGGATAAGAAGGCTTTCTGTCAAAGTATATTCCTTGAGCCAGAGGCCTTCGGAAATACACCATTGACCTCGACCGTTATTACACTTATAATACCTTTAATACCTTGATCAGCAATATAATACGTGTACCCAAAATTTGATGAAATTATTTTAAAAATTATTGTGAGTAGAAAAAATAGTGTATTAAACTCTCATGTAATGGCCGTTAATACAGTCGCACGATGTATACGAAACTCGTCTGCAGCTCGTTTCTTATCCTACCTGCTCGTGTATTAATGGCAATCATCACACGATCATTGCATACTTTGTATATTATTTGGGAGCAATGTAAAACCAGAACGAAATTAATTTAAGTCATAAATTTTTAACTGTTGCCTTATATAAATTTCAAGATACATATTTTATATCTATTAATCAGATAAGTTTACCTTTTCGAACTATTAGTGTCTTGTATAAAATTAAAGAATATTATTTTACCAGAACTATGTTTTATTTAATCCCATTTCTCAAAATGTTATACTGACGAGAAGTCTCAAGCATTTTAATCTCAACATCTTGCTTGCAAGTAGCACATACAGTGTGTCCCAGATTCGCTTCTCTATACAGGGATCTCGGCTCCTATTATACCTACAGCAAAGTTTAAATTGGGGAAGTTTAAGAGGAAGCTAAGTGCATTCGATAATCGGCTTCAGAATAACGATCGCTCAATTAGATTTGGAAATATCGGCGAAAAACCGAAAATGACGGATTTCGTTTTTTGCCGGTTAACCCGAAATGGTTTATTTGACAGCTTTCAAAATGTGACATTATTGAGACACTTTTTCAAGACCAATGAGATAGCGTGTATGACATGTCTCAATCGTCTTTTGTTATTCCGTGAGCCGCCTCAACTTTCATTTT